CGCTTACACAAAAAATATAAAGATCGATACGGTGAGCAGGTGTATCCTCAAAGGTTTCCTGAAGTAGCCGTCAATACAGCGAACAGGTTTTGTTCCTTAAAATTAAAGGTTTTCCTGAAGTAGCTTCTACAAATTTGTTTAACTAAAACGATAATAACAACAATTCCTACGGTGAACAGGTTTAATCCTCTAAGGTTTTCCTGAGTAGCCAAAATTATAAACGAGAAATCAGCAGAGTCCCTGCCAGAATAAAAGCAACAAAACGACAGATCTGACAATAGAAATCAATGAATAAATTTCATCAATCTAAAAATGATCTATTCCTTGTAAATGTTCTTGTACGAACAGGACTATGAACAGCCACCTGTGGTGCATTAAGTACTACCGGACAGATAGAGCATCATACACATTCCTCGATGTGGGAGGCTGTTGAAGTATGCATCTCCGATGTGATGATGACTATCTAGTGGAAAACAATTGTGCTATTTCATGAAGAGAAATCATATTTAACTGTACTGGTTGGTGGAGAATAAATCCTCTTCAGAACACCAGACTCTCTTATTTTTTCACTTCTTCTTGACCATCTTCACCACACTAGCGTCTTCTCCTTCTACACTCAATACTTCCTTTCCACTATGGCCGTCTGGATCACTCTACTTTTGTCCTCACTCCAAGCTGTACTGCCCTACTAATAACAACACTGCGCAAATCATCCCTTCAACACATCATTCAAAACCATGTTTAGTACCAACCATCATAGTATGATGGTTGACACTAAACATGGTGTAGTTTGATGGTTGGACATCCCCGGGATAATCCCGTGGCTTCTGGTAGCTACGCTTTGGAACTGTACTTAAGTGTATGCATTTGCTTAGAAGAACTACATGTGTATATTAGCCTTACCATACGTCGTCTACCATTCGCCTCCAAGAGGCCGAATTATCACTTTCCAATTTCCCCGCTTCCTCTCAAGTGCTGCGAGTGCTCTATCGCTCTAATGTTAGCACTTTCCAGGCTCCGCTGTACCCTCCTTTTTGTAGCTCTCGCTTTCTTCACTAACGTGGTCACTATCTCAGAGGCTATGTAGGTCAAGATGCTGAGCGGAAACTCCGATCTGCTAGTTACCTCTTCTGCTGATAATACTGGTAGTATCACGGCGAAGCGAGTGTTGAGGCAAGCCGTCAAAGCATCTTGAAGAGCGCCAACTATCCCAGCTACGAATCGGAGTCTGTTGCCGCGGAAGAACGAGGATGGTTTACCAAAGTTTTCGGTAGAATCGAAGATGCTTCGGAGTCAGCCTTTAAAAATCTTTTGGGCAACAGTGAAGCGAAGCTGAAAGCGTTCGAGAAACTGGAAAGAAAATACGATGACGTAAGGACGGCCTTTATTTTCGATGGCCTTAATTTGGATCAGCAAAGCTCCAGGTGGAAATTCTTCAAACAATTTGGTGATTGGTACGATAAGAGACAGTAGTCGTGTACTGAAGCCATGGAGCCACCTCCTCGTGCTCATTAGAGTTCTGTGGGATGATACTCAAGAATGTGAAAGAAGAACAGGATTTGTTTTTGCTGTAGCATTTCATACATGCCACTCTTGTTGTCTCGCACCAGTTTCGCTGGTAGTGTTTAGTGTCCCATGGAAATAAGTCCTTGCATTTTTGTACTAGCACTGCAGCTAAGAAAATAAATCACTGCGAAAACCCAAGCCAGCCATTTCAAATTAACCACTATCTCGACCCGGATGCTAGCATGCAGTGTCGCCGGGTGCATTGAAGGAAACATGTCAAATCACAGTTTCAGACCCTATCATTATTCAAATATTTATCCAGAATTGTTACCAGTCTGGCCCACATGACATTTTTCTTTTAGGCTAAAAGCTAGTTTACATCCAACAAGTTCTCCACAATGGAGTGCAATGTCATAACGCAGAGCACGATGAACAGCTCAGGCATAACGCAGCGCTCGGTGACAATCCATTATGCATAACGACAAACCTGTTGACATTAACGACGCTCAACCAAAAGAACTAGGCCGCTGAAGGCAAGACGAGCTTTCGACATGAGTTAAATTAGATGAAAATCCTCACTTCGCAGCTTAGGAAGTCATTAAATTATAATCCATCGACAAGTGCATGAAAAATTTCAACGGAGCTGCAGTCTCTTCGCGCTGATTCAAACAAAATAAAGATGAGGGCATTTGCTTGAAAATCTGAAATATTGTCTCTCATTAACTTTATAGAGTTCTATTATTGCACAGAGCAATAGCGTCCTCTCCACGGGCGTCCTCGCCACATGCAGTTAGTGTGACTCCGAGGTGAAAAATAGTGTTTGGCATGCGCGGGCTCACAATATATGCGTGATGGCTATTCTCGGACTACATGTACTCATTTTGACGGAATGTTTGAACCATCTAACCACTGGCTGCAACTGCCTCTCATACTGTGCTGGAATGTTTCGCGATAAATTGCGGATTCCAGTGCTGTGCATCGACAACATCACAACGCCGTAGTGTTGCAAATACCTGATAGTCTGATAATTTAGCGGATTAACAGACCATGTACTGTAAGACATAAACTGTTATTTTGCCCCTCACCCCCCTCCCTATTATATCTGCGTAGCTAAAGGCACTTAAAGGTGCTGACCAAAACATCCGAATGAGGCTGTCGTTCTCACCGTCGTTCTCGTCGGCGAGCTTGCAGTAGGATTTTGAGAAGACTTAGTCAGACAGTAAGCGTAGCGAGCTAATTGGTGACACAGTTTAATCGCAAATATACTGATGACTGAACAATACTTATCCATTAGAGCTCGCCATCGATGAGCTGATAGTTCAATAAACTATACCTACAGCTCAAAAAGACAAGCTAATCATAATAGACTCGATCTATTGCAAACCAGAGCAGTGATTTAGTAAATATCCACCACTTGGTTTTGTTATCTAGTGTACATATGAAGATTTCTATCCATAATCCGAAGGAGGCATCGTTTAAATAACTATTAACTGTCTTAATAATTCATGATGTTTATAATAGTTCTCAAATGAATAGCCCCTAGAGACGCTTCCAATGCTGCAAGGTGCTTAGCGTACACGTAGGAATGCGTGTTTGCGAGGACGTACTAGTAATACTGTGTACTTAATAGTTTCTGCAAGTTACGAAGGATTAAACTATTATAGTACTAACTAAAAGTTACAGCGGTTTTGTTGTAGAAATATTAAGAAAACGGCTGAGTGTGAGGTACCTGACTGAGCTGCCAACTAGTAGATCATGTACAACAGAAGATGGCCGTAAGAACTGACCATAAGAACAACGTTGTGCTAATAAACGTTATCACTTGATCCATAAAGATAATTAGTTTAGCTTGAATAAAATAACTCATATGTGCTACTGCTGTAAGCCATTGTTTTCAGAGAGTTGTTTAAACAGCAAAACCCGATACTAGTTAACGGGCGGACGAGTCGCCGACAAGGGCGTGGGATACGTTTGTAACTGAAGAGATACGACAACAACAAAACACGAGAGGTGTTAATTAAGTAGGCTCCATAAAGAAACATTTATAAACTTGGAGCCTAAATGACGTTAAACCATCCTGGATCATCGTTAAGCTATTAACCCTTTCGCGGTCAAGGGGGGCAATATGCCCTCTTTGACAAATTTATCGTAACGGGGTGTGAAAACGGCGTGCCAAACAGGGCATTCTGCCCCATTTCGTATATTTTGACCAATCATATTCACATTAGTGGCATTTAACTTGGCCAAAAAATTATAAATCAAGCGACGTCGAATATTTTCTTAATTTTTTTACATTCCGACAAAATTAACGAGCAGCGTGGGGCGCACAAGTTTTGGCGCAAACGAGCATTGGTGCCAGTGCTTAGGGCGCACAGAAGGGTTGTGCTGTGCGAAGTTCCAGGGCCAACATGGTATCCTATACTGACATGGAGATCTGTTATGTTTAGTAGTAGGAGAGCGTCTTGGCGTCCTTAGGACGCACAGGTGAGCTGGTATGTGCGATGTGCCGGGCCCATATGCTATCTTGTACTG